AGAAAATATAAACCGTTCAACAGTCTCATGGTATACGGTATTAAACAATCAATTATTATTATGATTATCGTCCGTTAAAATGGCCTTTAAATTAATGAAAACATTTTTTTTTTTTTTTGGTTTGAACAAATGCTTCATTATAACAAACTTGAAACGATTTGTTTGTTTTGTTTCTTCAAATTTCAATAATCAAAAACATGTCTAATCAATTAAAAGAATTGATTGTGAATTACATTAAAAATGTAGTTTTATCATTTTTTATTAAAATTAAGAATACCATCCTATGAAATATTTTTTTTCTTTTTATGATTTAAAACGAAAATATTATGAATAACGGTGGTAATCAAATTAATGCATAAAACAAACTATTTGATTTTTTTTTGTGTGCTGAACATAAATTTACTGAATTAAAATATGGACAAATAATTATTTTCCTTAAATAATGTTAAAATAAATTGTATTATTGTTTTTTAAATGTTATAATTATTCCAAAAAGTACTTTCTATATTACAATAGTAATATATTTCTGTCATAACTGAAATATGAATGCGGGTTTGCAGTCGACTGTAAGAAAGGAGCGGTTTAAGCAGAAATAATTGGAGAAGCCTGTCATAAGTCACCAGAGAGAAGTCTGACATTTCACCTCAACATTGAGTTCTCTTTTAATTAAAAATGACGAGGTCAAAAAAAATGGTTGGATAAATAATTCAGAATAAGATTAATAACATGCATTAGAAAATAGATCAGGTGAATTTTCATTTAATGCAGACTTTAATTAAATAAAATCAAGTTTTGGGCAGATCTTATTTTCTATAAGGTTTTCTCAGGTGAACTTCATGAGAATGTGAATCAGCGGATGTTGAGTCTTTCTCCTGCTGTTTAACAGCCATACACAAACATTGAACAAATGCTTAACTTTGATCATCCACCGTTTAACCTGCGGATGAACATCTAGTAACACTCCTCTCTTTGTTTACATTAAACATATCAAGACCCATTGAACAGAAATTATTAATTAACTTTGCCTGTACGTTATAGTTTCGGGATTTGGACTAAAAGTACTTCAGTACTTTTCCACATAAAAACCCGATATGCTTTGCATGCCAGGTCACATATCTTTCCAGAAATTGCTGACTGGCCAATTTAACGTGATATAGACTTAAATATGTAGCTGCCAACTTGTACATACAATAGTACATGACTCGGGTCTCTCCTTTGGACTCAAATATCAACGTCTTCATAAACGCTTCACTGATATTTACACCTATGAACAATGTGTGGCCTTGAACTATATCACCATCGGCATTGACAACTAAAAGACATATCTAGTATGCCAGTTGAGAGAAATAGCATTGACTAAAAAAAACATTAAGGCATATCCAAATGAATTATGAACGAACACCTGCTTCCTAAGGCGGCCCTCAGACTCTCAAGACAGTTGACCTGAATTTTCAGGGGTCACACCGGTGCTCTGTTATGACAAACAACATGGTGTTGTTATGGTTGCTACAAAATCTGCTATAACATTATTAAAAACACTGTAATAATGGTTTCACCTAGTAGTAACAAGAGATAAATCTTGATTATGATGCATTCATCTTTTCACCCACATGGTTTCTTCAGGGCAATATCACGGATAACTATTATTCTGTTGGTACAAATAACTCTTTCCTACTAATAGAGAAACAAAAACATCCATTGGTCAGATGTCAATATCGATCATATCAACACCCAAAAGCTACATTTTTTGACAGGTGAGCTTCCAATCATAAAAACCAACACATTATGCCTCTGATCACTTAAATATAGACTAGTATTTTGGTAATAGGAATATATTACAATTTGATAAGAGCGTTACATTTTCTAACTGGAGAAATGGGAAGAACAAGCTGATGGCAATTGGCATATAAATACTTAGGCTAATGACCTTCCTATTTATATTTGTAACAATATTGTATTAAGCTTACTGAAATTGATCCTGATCATTTGTCACACTGGAAACCCCATTAAAAAAAATCAGGTATTGACAAATAATAAACAACATACAGTATTAATATGGTGGGAGACGGTTGGAAGACTTAAAGATGGTTACGGTTTAGAAAAAAAAAACAGTACTTACTTCATCCTCTGAGAGTCCATAAATGGGTTCAATATTTGTAGCCATAAAGCCAAAGGGCAATTTAATACACACATACACGAAAACACACACACACTCGTGTGAAAGCTGGAACAATAGCAAAGTCTGTCCTTCTCCACCTCCTGTGAATGCAAGTTGATCCAAAGCAACGAAGTCTGATTGAAAAAAAACGGTTATCCTTTTAAACCATATCGTTAAAGAAGATGTACGTCCGCCGGTTTAATCTCTTTTAACGGCTGAAATTCGGTCAATACACGCTTAATTTCCCCCCAACAATATGATTTCCTCTCGTCAAGTGCAAACGCGAATCATTCACTTCCTCTCAGGATCCCAAACACTCCCAGCTGAATTGAGTGACAACATACCGCGCCAATCACAGGGTTTTCCGAAACTCGAAGAGGACAGACTTAGCCAATCGGTGTCGACTGAGGGCGGGGCAAAGATGTTGCACTCTTGTGGAGCAATCAGGGATGGGTAGTTAGATCCCAATATGGGATCTATTATAGCTTGACGTTTGTATATAATATTAGATTAATATCTGTGGGACTATATGTAGGCTATATGTTATATTTATTAATACTTAGGCCTTTTTAAAAGTCCGTAATAAGCTTCTTGAATCTTAAAGCTGGTTACAGTCTCCAATAGCAGTGCTCTATCATCCTCTAGAGTTAGAAGAGCGATACTGCCAAACATGTGCCAATTTATGATCAACACCCAACATTGGGTAAAGTCCAACTGTTATGCATCATGTTTCATTGTACATGTAAAATAGCCTAGAGGTACGGAACTAAAATAAGTTTTCTGTTGGTTTCTTCTGGTAGGCTATTTTATTGCCTATGGCTTTCTGAAGTGATGTTTAACAGACTGAAAAATATGAAAAGGATCAAACAGGGATATTTGAGAGGGAAAATTTCAGGTTTGTCATTAAAAAATTCCTCCTAAGATTTTTAAGCACATGCATAGCTTTCAGGTCACACGATTTAACAATGTGCATAAAAAGCTAAATGTATTCAAAATTTTGTCATTTTTAGTCATTTAGAAGACGCTTATCTCTTTGAGCGAAACAAAATACATTTACAGTTTAAAAACTTTAATAAATAAATTCATTAAAATGATCAAATATATTAAAAAAAGAAAAAAAGAAGATTTTCCCCTTTTTTCATGTAATCAGATGCAAGTATTTTGAAAATACAAAAAGGCCACGTTCTCTAAAATTCTAAGAGTGGATGTGGAATGTCAGCTTTTTTATTAACTATTAGAGTCACCTGAAGTGTGTAATTAAAAAAATAAAAATAAAATATATTATATTCTATTAATATTATTAGTATTATACGTAGTTTAGATTGTTTAGGACTATTAAAATACTTGTGATCATGTTACAATGTACACAAGGTTTTTCATGTAACTTGCTTTATTTCAGCATTATGCAATTCTGTTATTCCAATTGAATGTACTTACGTTGAGTTAACTTAATGTACTAAGGTTTATTCAACTTATTTATGGTTGGGCACAGCTTTATTATTAATATTCAAATTTCAAATAATAATATTCATTAACCCAATACAATAAAATGTATTTTAACTTCACATTAATACATTTCTAGTATAAGTATTAACTAGCACTTGTTAGCATTTTAAATTATAAGAATTGGACGCTTCATCAATCAATGCATTTGCTGAGAGTACTGCTGCTGAATCACATTTCAGCCTAACCAAATGTTCCACTCTTCTACACAATGGGTAACCCATTGTAATTTAAATGGTAGTAATAATTGCAATGTAATTGAACGTTAAACACAATTACACACAATAAAGTCTTCCCCATTTCTCATTTTCTCAAAAACACATACAATAACTCTTAATTTAGATGTACCTGTATTCTCTCTTAATTCAGCCATATGCAAAGCATGCTGGGAACTAACAAGCACAGCCCAATTTCAGTTAATGCAACACAAATCATTAATGTAATCCAACACAAATAGATTAAATCAACTTAAATTTTACATATTTTTGTAGTTTGAACACAATCACATTATTAAGTTTGGACAAAATGTATAGAATTTGTGTTGCATAAGCTCATTATTGCAATTAAGCAATTTCGACAACCAGCAAAAATATTTTTTTTTTTTGAGTGGGCAAAAAAATATATATATTTTCCCTTATACATTCATATACATTTCGATGTATGGAAAAAGGTTTCATATAGCCTACTGTACATGTTATTTGAGAAGTACCCATAGAGTTTGGATATGCACCAGCAGATGTCCTCATATAATCACTAAAACATCATTTGTCCTGGATGAGTGGCACATTATACAAGCACTGTGGTGTAATGTATTAAAAGGGGCTTTACTTAAGCTCAGAAATAGGTTCATATGACCAGGTAATATCAATAAAAACATTTGCCAAATATATTGTTAGTAATTTACTATATATAATAGATTTGCAGCTTGGTTTATTATATTACTTTGAGAATGTTTTACTGACTCATGACCCTCAGACAACATTACATTTAAAAGTTGTGAGTAATCTGTTAACCTTAAACTACTGAGATATGATAAATATAATAGGTCACCTATGCCAGTAGGCATTATGTCAATGTTAGTTCAAGTTCAAACACTTCATGATTTTGTTTAAACAAACAAAAAAAAATCCATAACACAATGGATACATTTAAATCAACTTTAGTTCCAGATGGTAGAATTACGTAACACCAAAAACACGTTGAGAGGATTTTTTTTTTTTTTTTTTTTGGGGGGGATCTTGCCCCACTCCCTAACTCACCCAACCATGGGCGGAAATTAGTTCCTTGGTTGGGAAACAGTTATTGCTGGAGGGTTTTTGGATGTGGTTGATGGAAATGTCGGTGCAGGTGTGGAAGAGTGGAAAGTTCTAGAAAGAAGAGCACAGATATTGGAAGAATGAGATAAGATTCGTTAGAAGCAAACCTTTTATACACGCACAACTGTTTTTTTTTTTTTTTTTTTTTTTTTCTTTCATCACACGCAACTAAACATGACCCCGTTAATGGCTTCAATCGCTCTTAAAGCAGAAAGGGTCAGAGTTCATTGACTGCTTCATGATGTTAATGCAGCATGTTGACAGATTCAGTTTAGCGTGTTTTATATATTTGGATGGATGGCCACATTTTTAGGTAATTGTAAAATCCTGGATTTATTGCATGACGTGAGAGAAGATAAAAGTATTTTACAGTAGGGAAAGAGGAAGGACTTTTATGTACTTGCATTTTATTCTGTACAGTTTCATTGATGCCACAGACAGTCATTGATATAGAAAAAGCAGACAAATTAAAATGTTAATGTTCAGTAGATGCTCTTGCATGGGTCAAGGGAATGGATTTGTTGCTAAATGTCAGTAAGGCAGACATTTTTGATACATAGTTGAGCTAGAGGCTCCACATCACCTGACCTGGGTCCTGCTGCATTTGCGCGCCGTGAACGTTATAGTCTCAAGTCATGCGCAGTTGCGCACAAGAAAGTCCAATCGTTGGACGTTTCAATCAAACAACAAATTAAAGAACAACAGAAATATTAACATACAGTAATAATCATGACATATTTTGAAAGGGACTCGAGTGGACTCGGGAATAAGTCCGAGTCCTTATATGGTCGAGTACGAGTCAATTCCAAGTCCAAGTCTCGAGTACACAACACTACCTGTAACTAATCTATATACAGGTGGAGCTGGGGATGGTGGAAGGTTTCTGAAAACTGTATACAGCAAATGCACTGAAGTTTGAGCAGCAAGCTCATTGGCTACTGATACAGCAGGAACCAATCAGCTGTGCCCTATAGAGAATGACGTGATTAAGTTAAGGACCTATCAGCCTGGGTAATCTACACTGTAAATAATAGTACTGTAAAAAAAAAAAAAAAAAAAAAAAAAACGGTAAACTACTGGCAGCTGTGGTTGCCAGCATCATACCATAACTATACAGTGTGTTACTGTTTTGTCTGCGTTAGAGCATATAGCCGTTAAATTAAAGTTTTTTTTTTTTTTTACAGGATTATGAGTTTCATGACAGAACTTTGTATTGAGATATTCTTCTATTTGATTTGTCCAATTATCCTCTAATTCCTAAAACATTTGTGAAATATAAAAATGATTCAATTTGCAGGCAGCAGAACTGACAACAGGAAAAACTGGAAGCAAGATTAACCTTTTGGGAGTATGATAGGATGAGAAAGAAGTATGGATCAACAGTACAGAAGATTTGGCAATAGGAAAGATGACTGACAGCGGAAGAAAGCACATGGCAGTGCACTCGTTCAGTGTTGGACAGCTGGCGTGAGCTTGATATGCAGTCGACCCTCTCTGGCCATGATGACGGCTCAATCTCACGGATAAGAGGATTGGATGTAGAAAACAGAGGGAGGGAGAACTGAGCCTGTGTGCATTCATTCAGAAGTCAGGTGCATGTCAACAATACAGAAAAGAACAATAAACCGTTCAAAATTATTGTTGATGTTTTTGAAAGAAGTCTGTAATGATCACCAAGGCTGCGTTTATTTGATCAAACTATACAGTAAAATTGTGAAATATTATTACAATTTAAAATAGCTATTTCCAATTTGAATATATCTTAAAGTTTCATTTACTTTTGTGACGCAAAGCTGAATTTTCTGCATCATTACTCTCCAGTGTCACATCGCATGATCTGAAGACTGATATCATTCTAATATGATGATTTGGTGCTCAAGAAACATTTCTTATCATTATCACTGTTGAAAACAGTTGTTCTGCGTAATACACTTTTTTTTAACAAACTGTGATAAAAAAAAAAAAATCTGGATTTTTTGATGAACAGAAAGTTTTTTCCAGAAAAGCAATTGTTAGATTTTTTTTGTAACATTATAAATGCATTTACTGTAATTTTGATCAATTTAAAATGTCCTTTCTGAATAAGTATTTAATCTTACTGACCCCACACTTGCTAGTAGGTATAGTATTACTAGTAACTGATTTTTTTATGTACAATTTCTATTTATGAAATTATTCAAACTTATTTAAAACAAAGAAAATGTAGGCCTATAAATACTATAATGAAGTTGCTATTAGATCCTAAATTAAAATAATGTATTTGCAATTATGAGATAAACATTTTATATGTTTAAAAAGATTGTGCCACAATTGGAAATTAACTGTATACTGGTGTAGTAGCTTGTTTCTGGGTTTCTCTTTGCATGTCATTTGTCATTCATTTTATCTATACATATAGTACACTGAGGCACACTCTCCCTTATAGGTGCTACCTTTAAGAGCTTTACTCAAGGGCACAAGTGAATTCGAGATCAATTCAATAACCGCATGGTATACACAGGAAATCATAACATTAGGATTGTCCAAATTCTTTAACATTGTGTGTGTTTTTGCATGTGCAGGCACCTGTCTGTGTGTGCATGTGTAAAGCAGCTGTCTTATTCTCTAGCAGGCCAGTAAAACTCATCAGCATGGTCCGTGTCTATTAAAATCCATACAAGTTTACATTACAAAATGAATAAATACTGACCTTACTGAAACTTTACTTATGACTTCACTTTATGACTTGATTTTATGACTTCTGAATGTTTTCAGAGCCCCTTCTCTCTACCTATTAACTGGCACAGTCTCTCAGCTGACCATAGAAACACATTTGCAGAGGTCATTTTTGAGCTCTTGATCTTTGAGCCATGTGTTTCCTTCTGTCTGCTGGGGTGAAATGGGGCTTGAGTCAGTATCATGCTACCTGACCATGTGCCATGGAAAAAATCAAAAGGTAATTTGAAAAAGTCAAGCTTTAGTTTTATAACAGGTGATTTGGGTTGGTGCTTTGATCCTGTTACATTTAAATATAACCATTTCAGTTCATCATTGACTTGAATTTGACCTTAAAGAAACAGCTCGCCAAAAATTACATTATTCTCCTAACATATTTCAGTCATATGATATGTTTATGTTGTCCTTTTTTACTCCAGTCCCCATTTATTGTAAATGCATAAAAAATTACGACCTTTATGTTCTTCGAAAATTATCAGCGCATTCTCATCCCAAGGCGTCATCTAACTGTTGACCATGCTTCAATATCTAGAATATTTCATTACCTAGAATATTCAATATCTTCAATATCTATAATATTTAGCGTCAGTTACATGACGTGATCCTAGGGCGTCATCTAACTGAAGCTAAAGGGTGCCTAAAGCATCAGATCTTGAAGCATGGTCAAAATGCTTCCCAAGGCATCAGTTAGATGACGCCTTGGGATGAGAATGGGCTGAAATTATGCATGAGGTTCTATTAAAACAACATGAGGGCGATAAAATACAATTTTAATGGGTGAACTTGCATTAGTGCTTTGCAACAAGACAAAATTTGACCATTAATTTGACCATTAATCAGTGACATCATTATTCATTATTTACTCCCTTTGTGTGAAAGATGAAGAGTGAGAAAATCCCAGTAGATCAGCAGTTTCTGAAATACTCAGACCAGCCCGTCTGGCACCAACAACCACCATGCCATGTTTAAAGTCGCTTAAACCACCTTTCTTCCCCATTCTGATGCTCAGTTTAATCAGAAAATCGTCTTGACCTTGTCTGCATGCCTTAATGTTCAGCCCGTTCTCATCCAAAGTCGTCATATACTGACTCTTTTGCCGATGCATCAACATCCAGCACACATGGCACCCTTTAGCGTCAATATGAGACGCAGACAAATATGGGTAGAAGGCGCCTCCCTACCCCAGACCTAAACCTACCACAACCGAAGCGTGTTATATTGACGCTAAAGGGTGTCATGTGCGTACGCATTGGAAAAAGCGTCAGTATATGGGATGAGAATGCGTTGTAATGTTGCTGCCATGTGACTGGCTGATTAGATATTTGCGTTAACGAGTGCAGTAATGTACTACCTAATGAACAACAGTTTGACACGATTAAAGTGATTCATCTAAATCTGGGGGAAAAAAATCGGAAATGATTCATGTTGAAGACATAATTATTTTATACATCATGTTCCCACATAGTTCATTCTGATTGGATTACCTATAGGTGAATTTGTGTATTATTTTTTATATTTCTAGACATGTTTCTGGACAAAAGCCTTTCATAACCTTTAATTTGCTTGTTTTCTCATCCACTTATACCACGACAAATATACTAAATGGTGGACCTCTGTGGCTCAGGATAAAATTCATTGGAGATCATCAGAATTATGCTATCTTAGCCTAGCAGAAGCAATCTCATAATTAATTATAATTACAAAAATGCCAATTTACTCAAGAAATGAGACATTGGAAAATGTCTTAATTGGATTACTTTTGGGAAATTGAACTTTAGGAATTACAACACCTGCATTAAATGGTGAGGCAAGAATAGAAAAGGAAAATTTTGTTCTGAGAAAGGTATAGCACATGATGACTACAATATTTATTTGAAGATACAATTTGTTTTTTTGTTAACTGATTCAAATTTTGTATTTTTATTTTGCATGTGGTATATTTTTAAATATGGACATTGTTCTAGAAAGTTTAGTTGTCATGGTGAAACATTGTAAAACCTGATTGAACATATTGCGTCTCTGCTGCAAGAAACATGTCATATTTCAGAGTTATTTGTATTGTGCGCACCCATAACCTCCTTTGATTTAATTGCATTCTTTATGGCATAACAGTCTGCAATAACCTCAGTCTGTGCTTATTAAAACCTTTACCAGGCTGTAGGTCATTGGTGACTGAAACAAAACCTGTAAAATACTGTGAGAATGCTGTGATGACGGTGAGTTCCTAAAATATTACTTTGGTGAACCCTATTATCACTGCCCCAAAAATCTCTGAGTTGATACTGTAAATGTTAAAATTCAAGAAAAGGTAAAAAAAAAAAAAGTCTTCATTCATTCACTTAATTTCTGTGAGCTACTGTTTGACACACATACAGACTAGTGATATATTTCTTATTGACAATTTGTTTATGTTCTGTTATGCATAAACTCCCTTAAATATTATATGGATTCAAGATCTGTGAAGTGTGCCATTACTTTCCCTTTTATTAATTTGTTGTCTCTTATCTGTTGCCTGGCTTTACATTTTTTCTTTTTTATCCTTAAATACTTTAAACATAATCACTCATTTCTTTAGCTGTCCATTTTCAGTTGTTATAAAATTGAAAAAAATTTTTGTTGGAAAAATTAGAAAGCAAATAAACATTTCTTAGTCATCCTTGCTTTTACAGAATTGACCCAAATCAGAAGAATTTACCAAACACATCCTTTGATACTGAATGTTTTATTGGTCATGATCCCATTCCTCATCCTGATGCTGTGTTTTTCCATGGCCAGAACACTGTCTCTAATAGGGGAAGTAAGTTCCATTGTTTCCTAGTAATCCGTCAATTTATTACCATCTCATTGAGATGCACTGAGCGGGATGATGTGTAGCTTTTATCTCAACAGGTTTTACAGTGTTTGAGCACGAGCAGAATATGTACAGTCATGTGTTTGGATTGCAAGTGCGAGCACTTTGAGTCATACCGGATTGTCATAAATAACTGCAAGCAGAAGGCTATCATACATTTAAACAGGTATTATCTATCTATCTATCTATCTATCTATCTATCTATCTATCTATCTATCTATCTATCTATCTATCTATCTATCTATCTATCTATCTATCTATCTATCTATCTATCTATCTATCTATCTATCTATCTATCTATCTATCTATCTATCTATCTATCTATCTATCTATCTATCTATCTATCTATCTATCTATCTATCTATCTATCTATCTATCTATCTATCTATCTATCTATCTATCTATAAAGTGGGAGGAGTTTGTATGGGAGCGACAGAAACCACGCCCACTGACAGACAGACCTGTCAGACAGGAGATGCCTATCGCCCGGAGGCATTTGACTTACCTGAGGGCTGTAGGAACGCACGTCTGCTCAAGACATCATCTAAGCTTTACGAGCGGGCTGTTACATAAGCAAGAAAAGCAGAAATCAACCAGTTCAATGTAGCCATCCTGATAGCGCGATCATCAAAGAGGGATTATAGGAGCTCTGTGAACAGCAGGTAAGCGCAGAGCTGCTACTTTTCTGCTTGAATGAATAGAATTAACATTCGAATGAGAAAAAGATGATTGCATGCTAGCGTAAGTATCCAACATGGTTTATAATGCAAGAGAGTAGCCATATGGTAAAACAATGTTCCGAACTTCCGATGAATGATTTGATTGAATATTTACTTCTGCAATACTATTTTATCTTCTTATTTGAAATATTTCATACTTACAGTAGGCTAATAAACTTTACTATTGATATAGTTAGTTATTGGTTAGTTAGCATGCAGTGTGCTTCATAGCATCTGAGTTAACTGTTTTTATTCAGATAGACACTGAATATTTAAGATTTTTTAAGATGTACGTATTTCAATTGTATAGTAAAATTCCATTAAATTGAATTGAATAATCCTTGAGTAATTCTATTATTTATATGATGAATTAAGGATTTTAAATAAGTAAAAAAATTAAATTAAAAAAAAAAACCTTGAGCTTAATACATTTTGTGCATAAACCTTAATGGAACAAGGGACCATAGTTAATGTGATTCGTATTCATAAATGTAATTTTCATTTGTATTTGTTTTATTTGTAAATACGAATCACATCATCAAATGGTCCATTCCTGTGTTTCATTAAGATTTTTAAAAAAAAGTTTTATTAAGCTTTATTTTGTTTACTCGATTAATTCATAATATGAGTAAGTATTATTCAATTTAATTTGATGGAATTTTACTGTAAAACTAAAATACATATACATTAAAAGAAGGCTTACTTAAGTTTGATTTTTCATATTTAAATTCCATGCCGGAAAAGTGTGTTTCTGAAATGGCTCACAAATGTGAATGCTGTGTTTTTGCTTATACAAACTGTGACTTCTGTCACATTCTTTAATCAGGGTGTATAATATTCTTACATTAAAGAGTGTATATGCAGTGTATTTATTGTTGTATTAAATAATGAATGAATGAATGAATGAATGAATGAAATGTGAATCAATGTGAGTGATACTACACCAAGAACAACATGTTTGGAATCAACATTTTGTTCAACCTGGAACAAAGTTCTAATCAACCAATCAGATTTGAGGGACAAGTTATAGTTAGAGATAGTTTGTGTCAAGTTTAGGCTTATAGGTGCTTACATCAGTATTATTCGCCTATCATTTCCCTCTAATTTGAGGATAACTTATGGGTATTAGGTTTAGAGATATAGGACTAAAGTTTCAAACAGGAATTTTGTTCCTGAATCAACAAAATATGTTGATTCAGAAACATGTTTTACTTGCTGCATGCAATTACATATGAAGGAGGCGTTATCATTGTGTGCTCATTATTATACGTTTAACAGGGTGACTTAAATATTTTTGATTTTGACATGATCAGTTACCTCGCATAGCCCAGAATCAGAGCAGGGCTTTAGAGTCTAATTATATTAGAGAGTGGAAAGTGCTGATATAGGCGTTCATTATGTAATGAGCTTTGCATCGGTCTAATCCTGGGCATAAGAGATGACTGTGAAGTCTTCATGGTTTCAATTCGGCAATGGGTGACTGCTTCAGAGGTAAATGTTGTTTTGGTGTCTGTCGTATTTGATCCTTATGTCAGCTGTTTTGCAATTCAAACAGAGGCTGAGATCTCATTCGAACAGTGATAACAAGAAAAAATATTCTTTTCAGTATTGATTAGAATATTGGCAGTTTTCCTAAACTGGGACAGAAGTGTTCCACTCAAAGCCACTGGTTAATATGTTTTAAGTTCACTTAAAAATGAAAATTCTGTTCTCATTTACTCAAGTGGTATGAATTTGTTTCTGCTGAAGACAAAATAAGATATTTTGAAGAATGTCAGTAACCAGATGGAAGTCAATGGGGTCCATCAACCCTCTGGTTAGTGGTTACCGACATTTTTCAAAATATTTCCTTTATGCTCAGCAGAAGAAAGAAATTCATACAAGTTTGAAACAACTTGAGTAAATTATGACAGAATTTTCATTTTTAAGTTAACTCGTCCTTTAAACACAGAAAATGAATTAAATATTTTTAGTGGTATTGTTTGCTTTAGCTTAAATTATATAAATAGACTTCATTATGGTATTGAATAGAGGTGATTACCGAAACTGGAAATTCTGGTTTCTTTTGTAGTCATACAATAAAAAATAATCTTAAAGGAGCCGTATGTAAGATTGTGGCCAAAACTGGTACTGCAATCACTTTCAATTACTGTAGAGCGGTGTATCCCCTCCCCCTCCCCCCTGACTCGAGGTTGCCAGATAGGCTGCAGGATCCAACATTTATTTTACCAACACATTTGTATCTGCAGCTGTGATAACTGCAAAGCTGGCAACTCGTATGCTGCAACACTACTGACTTCGTGATTGGTAGGTCGGTGGAGGGTGGAGCATCAGACCAAAACACAACATGACAACATCAACATCAGTTGAGGGCTGCAACTTCACTTTTTTAAATGACAATATCCAGGCTGCTGTTCTCAGTGATTTAAGTATTTGAAATTAACATGATTTCTTAATGTCTAGAGACATATCAGGGCCATTTTCTGATTATTTTAAACACATTTCTTACATACAGCTCCTTTAATTATTCATCTTGATATGCTGGGCATGATATGAGGTCAGATAAAGTGTACAGTATAAGAGCAGAAATAAGCTTTTTCTATTTATCTTTTTTGTATTTAATATTAATCAAATGATTAATCGCATCCAAAATAAAAGTTTGTGTTTACATAACATATGTGGGTGCATTGTGTATAATTATTTATATAAATAAATACACACACATGCATGTATATTTAAGAAAAAAATATTATTTATATATAAAATATTTATATTTATATATAATATAAATTCTATATAAATCTATATACAGTATATACATGACAATATTTCTTAAATATATACAAGTATGTGTGTATATGTATATATATATACAAAATAATTATACACAGTGCACCCCTCATATATTATGTAAACACAAACTTTTATTTTGGATGCGATTAATCACGATTAATCGTTTGACAGCCCTAATATTAATTTGATATCCATATGTAACCCAGTGCTTTGTGTGTAAATTGCGGAACACACCGGAAGATCTGACAATAGCTTCTTTACCTGATTAAAGTGAGACATCATACCACTTCCTAAGCGGCCATTCAGCTGATCGTATCAGTGAGAGTGCTCAACACACTTGCATATCGCTCTGGTTGTTTATTGAGCTGGTTAATAAAACTCCTGCTATCATGATATTCTATCTTTTGTTGGTTGGAGCCAACTTGAGGGCCTGGATAATGCCGGTAACAAGACAGTTGAAGTGTATCTGGGAAATGTGGCTTACAGTTTGAATTGGATGGTCATGAGGTATTGAATTTTATCATATATATATATATATATATATATATATATATATATATATATATATATATATATATATATGTCTATATGTGTATATATACATATACATTTATATATACATATACATGTATATATATATGCGTGTATATATATATATATATATATGTATGTATATGTGTATATATATATATATATATATATATATATACACTGTATATATATGGTGGTGTGTGTATATATATGTATATATATTTATATATATGTATGTATATATATATATATATATGTATGTGTATATATGTGTGTGTGTGTGTGTGTGTGTGTGTGTGTGTGTGTGTGTGTGCGTATGTATATATATATATATATATATACATATATATATAAGAAGTTAAGAAAGCATCTGATCATTGCGATGTGGATGCAAGCTACGTCACATTTCGACATTATTCTGAACATTGTACTTGCATTCATTTCATGTGTCATTGAACAGAAGGACTCTGAACTGGAGCCTCCTTTCATTTTCCTTCACATACAAATCTGTCTACAGGCTTTCATAGTCAACAGGAAGTCTGGAAGGTTTCAAGTTTTGTTAAAAGCTGTTCACACATTGGCAATAAAAAGCGATTAATACATGAAAATTCATACACATATCCCCTTTAAGCCAGCTTAAGCAGCTTTACACTACTCTTAAATTTCCAGCTTCTATTCAGCACTGACCTATTTCCTGTTCACTTGATTAATTCATTGACCTGATGCTTTTATTGCTCGGTATCGTCAGGTCTGGAACGGATCCCATGTCAGAGTGATGATGTTGTTGAGTCATTGTTTGCACTTCCGAATGAATAATTTTTGAAGGTTTACTCAGTTTGGTTGGGTATAGCAGTTACTTGTTTGTTTGTTTGTTTTTGTTTTTTACATGCCAGAACATAGCCTATAGTATAGTTACAAAAAATACAAAACTGTTTTTTTTTTTTTTTCTTGAGTGAAAATGATAATTTCACACAGCTGTTTCCCACATAACTGCAGTTTAGATTAGAGCTTCGGTGGTTAGGAATATTTTCATTGAATAATTAAAATTCTATTCTGTTCCTTCTAAAAATCCATTGCATGTTTTTGGAAGACTTGATATAGTGCATATATGGACTATTATATTTTTTTGTCTTTTTTTAGAATGTAAAAAACGTGACTATAAAGTACTTAAAAAAGAGAGCTTTTTTTTCTTTAAAAAAATGGAACGTCAGTAATTCACTGCAATTAGTTGAATGCAAATAATTTAAAGGAATAGTTCACTTCAAAATAATATTTATTTTCCTACTATGGAAGTCAATGGGGTAGGCTATCAGTTGTTTGATTTCTGACATTCTTCTAAATATTTTCCTTTGTGTTCAGTTGAAGTGAGAAATTCATACAGGTTTGAAACAACTTCATGGTGAGTAAATTATGACAGAATTATCATTTTTAAGTGAACTATTCCTTTAATGTCAACACCTTGTAACAAGCTGTCAAAGAAACTCTGAAATTAGAAGTCATGAGCAGATTAATGGAGTAATGTTGAAATGTAGAAATTTGAGGAAAGCGTTGCAACAAGGAATGAATCCTCGGTCTTGCAGAAACATGATTTCACAAACACAAGTGCTGATATTTGTCTG